AAATAGCATGTGAGAGGATGATTTCTACTATTCACGTGTGTGGTGAATGGGGAGTTTCCAGACCCATCTGATCTTTGGGATCTCCTGGGGGAGGTTAGTAAAAGGCAGATTGCTGAGGCTCTGATTCAATGGCCCTGAGAATCTGTATCTTTAAAAACATGCCAGTCCTGTTTGGTGTGGCTCAGTTGGTTGGGTGTTCTGTATGGGAAGGTTGCTGGTTTGATTTCCAGTCAGGGCACATGCTTGGGTTGTGGGTTCTATCCCTTGGGTTGTGCAGGAGGCAGCCAATCAATGGTTTGCCTTCACATCAATGTTTCTTTCTCCCTCTCCTTTTCCCCTTTCCTTTCCTCTCTCTTTAAAAATCAATTTTAAGATCTTTAAAAAAACACACACACACAACCTAGTGTTCAAACAGGTTTGTAAATCAGCTCATATCTACAAATGTAAGGGGTGAATATTATTTTCCAGGACCTCAGCAATGCCAAGATTTTGTTTCTTTCTTCTGCCCAGTTAAGATGCGGCCAGCCTGGCCCCATCCTAGGTCTCCTCCCCTGATGTTCTCCATCCCACTCCTTTGCTGATAGAACTTGGCTGCTTCTCAGCACCTGCCAGCACAGACAGGGCAGGAGGAGAGGGTAGGCAAGAAAAGGGTCTGCTCCAATACATACATTGCCCTTCGTTACCCAGACAGGGTGAGCCAGCATGGAGGTGGGCCAAGCCGAAAGGCAGAGAAACAGCCAGAGTTTGAATAAGCAGATGAAGTATTTGCTGATGGGAAAGGCTCACTCTTTTGCCTTGGCTAATAAAATGTGTGTTGGTTGAATCCCAAGGCACACCTCTTGTATTCATTTTACTGATTTTGTGTCTTTCTAACTAGTTGGATGGTTGGGGGGGTGGAGGAATGTGGGACAACTTTTATGTTTGAAATCCCCCAATATCCTTACCCAATGAGAAACGCCATGTCGCAGATGAGTTCAAACAAGAGATCATCGAAAAGTCATCATGAGGTTTAGGGTAAGGTGATCAGACGTCCCGCTTTTGGCAGGACAGTCCTGATTTTTAGCAATTTGTCCCACGTCCCATGACGTTTTAAAACAGTCCCTTAGTTTAGGATGAGTGCATGGCTGGATCCCCTCCCCTATTAAACTCACCTGCCAAGTTTGCTTCAGCTTCATCATTCGGTAACCATCCTGGGAGAATGGTTGGCTGGGGTGATGGTTAAGAGGAGCTTAACCTTGAAGCAGACACATAGGTGAGACTCAGACTTTCAGGGTTATTGGATGTCAGCACTGGGCAGACATGTTCTGTAAACGGGGGCGCTGAGCCCTCAGAAGGACCCTGACTTGCCAGTTCCCAGACCCATTGTTTTTGCCCCGGTGCCCACGCTGTCTTTGTGCTCTGGATGTGGGTTCACAGACAAGAAAAAGCTAAAGAAGTTCATCACCGCCAAACCAGTATTATATGAAATGTTGAAGGGTATTCTTTAAGAACAAAAAGATTTAAAAAAATATGAACAAAGTGCCCAGATGAGGCCCAGCTGTGAAGCAAGGCAGGCCGGCGCTGGTGATGGGTTTTGGGCCTTTAATTGATACGTTTGGAGCTCCCTGACCCAGCTGCAACTTGTTTTGAGAGATTTTTTAGCCTGAGCAGGGATTGGTCAGTTATATGCAAAAGCTGCTGCTCATAGGTTGGGTACGGTTTTCAATTGGATGAGGTGGGTGGGGTCTCAGGGAATTACCAGGGCAAAGCAAACAGAAATGGCTGCCAGGCCTACAACCATGAAGGCCCAGCAGAGGAACAATGATCCCTGCAAGCACCTCCTTCTGGGAGTAAGCGGCCCCCGAGTTCCTGCCCGGATGCCAGACAGTCCAGCTCCTCCTGGTATGTGTCTGTGACCCCCAAAACCTCACCCTGGTGCCGGCTTTTAAGAGGAGCAGCTGGGTCTCCAGCAGCCTCTGAACCCCAATCCGCACTGGTTTTTACAGCCCATAGTTCTTATTGCCCACAGGGACTTCTTTTCCCAGCTCTGGGACCCTGAGCTGGGGGGGGGAGGGGGGGAGGACTGGTGTGGGGCTGGGGCCCCTCGCTCCTCCAGCCTCAGAGACTATCTCCCTCCTGATAAAAAAGCAGCACCCATGGGTGCCGGCCCGGCCCATTCTGCATCTCTGCACCTCCTACCAGTCTCTGTGTGCTTTCTTCTTGCCTTCTCTAGTTGTAGGACTTCATTCAGGCAGCTTTCCAGTGGTTCTGTATTTTAGTTGTAATTTCTATGTGGTTGTGGGAGGCAGCGAGGACACGGCCATCTTCCTTGTCTGTTGGAATATATGGCTTTTAAAGGCCTTTTTAAAAACTAAGCTTCTGCGAGTCAGACTCGGTGTTAGACTTGAACTGCATCTGGGGGAGGCCAAGTGTTCTGCTCAAACAGTGCACCCCCCTGGCTGGGAGGTGCTCAGTCCCAGAAAGGGGAAGGTCGGGCAAGAGCTGCCCTCCCCTTCCAAGGTCACTGCAGAGGTGAGCCAAGGCCCTGCCAAGCCTGGTGGGAGTGACTCCAGTTCCCCAGGTGCTGCTGCTCTGGGCCAGGCACAGTGCGGAGGGTGGACACGCAGCTCTGAAGGAGATACCCGGGAGTAGGCGGCGGGGGGCTGATGGGCTGACCCGTGAGATTCACACATCAGTGCTGACCACCGCTTCCTGAGAGGCTCTGGATTTCCTGGTGCCAGAGTCTAGGAAGCAACCCCTGGGCCTCCCATACTCCTCCTGGGTCTGTTGCTACAGGCAGGCAGTTATTGGCCAAGGTTTCCTCCAAATACGCGTCTCTCCCCTTCCACACGCTAGACTGTCCCTGGAGGCTGGAGGCCCAAGCTTCTGTCAATCCTAAAACAAAAGTGAGGAAGCAGGGGTCTTCTTTTCTCCCCAATTTGGTCCTTTTTTTTTTCTTTTTTCTTTTTTTTTAATATTTTTATTTTATTGATTTTTTTTATTTGATTTTTTTTACAGAGAGGAAGGGAGAAGGATAAAGAATAAGAAACATTGATGAAAGAGAAACATCTATCAGCTGCCTCCTGCACACCCCCTACTGGGGATGTGCCCGCAACCAAGGTACATGCCCTTGATTGGAATCGAACCTGGGACCCTTCAGTACACAGGCCAATGCTCTATCCACTGAGCCAAACCAGTCGGGGCTCTTTTCTTTTTTTCTTGATGGTTTACTTGAGTCCATTCAGCACATGCCTTAGGAATCCAGCTGTGAGCAGGGAATCCAGCTGCGAGCAGGGAATCCAGCTGCTGGCAGCCAGTGGGCATCTGGTTCTGGAACCGGACAACTAAGGGGTCAGGGCTGCCTGTCACTACTTAAGCCAATGAAGCAGAGATGGGGTTGAATCCCATATGAGCGTTTAGTCCAGCAATGCCAGCAGTGTGGGAGAGCAGCAGGTCACCCACAAAATCTGCCTCTCCCCATAAGCCAGCTGCTTATATTGGGTAGAAGGACAGAGATTCCAGGCATGGGGGAAGTAGGCACAGGATAATCATGCAGGCTGGGGGTGGGGGAGGTCTCAGAGGGCGGGCACCCCGGGACCAGATTACAGGCAAAAGGGGTTGGGGTTGTAAAGAGCAGGTGCCTCCAGGACTAGATTGTTTCAACCACGAGGTTATAAATCTTTCCATGATGCCAGGCAGTCCTCAGGGAAAGGAGGATGGACTGCATTCCAATGTTAGCTCCCATGTCCCAGGGCACATAACTCCCAGCCAGGTTAGAGTGTGCTTTCTCTAATCAGAACAGAGCTATCATGGTTAACAGAGCATGATTAACATATTTCTTATTTTATTTCTTAAAACTAATAGCTAGTCCCCACGATTACATTTCTGCCCCTAACAGCTCAAGCCCTGTTTTCAAATGAGGAGCTGTGGGCAGAGGAGCTGAGACCCAGGCAGGTCTTCATGGCTCCTTCCGCCACACTTCATCCGCTGCCTGTCTCATCTTCCCCCACCTCTCACTCACCAACCCCTTCCTCACACACTCCCCAGAACCCAGCCCCCAGGCAGGGAGGGCTCACTGCCCCTGTGCAGCCTGTAGCCCAGTCTCCTTCCCCTCTGGCCCAGTCCCTTGACAAGTCTGAGTGCTTCCTTGCTCAGCTGGTAAATGACAATGAGGAGTCAGGAAAAAAAAAAAATGTTCTTTTTAGCTGCTTTGCCTACTGCAGAGAAAATCATCCACTGGGAACATGGGCCTGGCAGGGTGACGTGGGGGAAAGGGACCCTGCTTGCAATGGGAGTCTGTGGGGCTGAGGAAGAGGAAGGAATCCATGAAACATGCATATGGTTGAGGCTCCTAAGAGATGCCCTTAGGAGATGGGTAATGAAGGGCCTAGGGTGGCTGTTTTTTTATTATTCTCTACCACGTAGCTCTCAGGAGCCAGGCACTGAACTGGGTGCTAAGGATGCAAAGATAAAACTGCAGAGGCCGCTTTGTGTGTGGACTCGGAGTAGAAAGTGCTGGGATGTAGGTGTGACCAAAGGTGGTGGGGGGGGGCGCTCGGAGCAGACCCAGTGAGAAGGCTGACTGGTGCCTCAGTGCTGCTTCCCAGCCCCGCTGCACAGGAGAGCCACCCGGGAGCTTTTAAAGCCCAAGCCCGGGCCGCACCCCTGAGCAAGCAGATCAGAATCCCTGGGTCTGGAACCCAGGCATCAATGGTGGGGGCTCCATAGTGAGGCCAAGTGGGGAATTCGAGTTCACTGTCATTTATGTCTCAGGTTTGCAGGGGAATGGGATGGCTAACTGGGTGACTTGTTGGTTGGTTGGTTGTTTTTTTATCTTGAGCCTTCTTATTCACTTTTTCTATTAGAAGGCCCGGAGAATTACCTTTCCAATTTGGGTGTGGGTGTGGGAACAGGAAGGAGGGAGGACGGGAGGCAGGAAGGGGAGGGAAGAGGAGGAATTGGGCTGTGGCATCTGAGCTCTTAGCAACATTGTCAACGAACCACACCTCCCTCACTGCCAGGACCTCCTGCAGAATTCTCCCAATTCCATGTCCGGAGTCTCCAATAACCCCCAGGGGATTGTGGTCCCAGCCTCAGCGCTCCAGCAGAGCAGCATCGCCATGACAACTGTCAACTCACAAGTGGTGTCAGGTTGGTGCAGGGGTCTGTGGGGACACTCCTGGGAGGAGGAAAGGTGGCCCCGAGGAGCCTGCCGGGGTGAGGGGCAGGGCAGTGCACAGGTGCCCCTGGAAATGGGCTCCCCGCTGAGTTTGTTAGCTAAAGAGTTCTGTGGTTTATAGATGGTTAGCACCAAGACGTCACTGTATGGTTTGGAACACATGTGGGTCAAAGTCTCATGAGCCCCTCAGAGGCCAAGCAAGGCGATCGTCCTTTCCCCAGTACGTGCCCCCATCCTGCCCCTTCCCACAGGGGCTGAGTACCTCCAGAGCAGAAAGAGCCCCCATGACAGGGGACACAAAACTGGTTGTCTCCTCAGGTGGAGCCTTATACCAGCCAGTTACCATGGTAACCTCCCAGGGTCAGGTGGTCACCCAAGCAATCCCCCAGGGAGCCATCCAGATCCAGAACACACAGGTGAGTGTGTGTCCCAGTGTGTGCACGTTTGCATGGGTGTGGGGGAGGGCAACCAACCAAGGTCACTTACCACCTGGTAGACACCTCACACAAGTTACTCATTTACTTCCCATTATTCTCCTAAGAGGTAACATCACCCCCACTTTCCAGTTAAGAAGCTGGGTGCTGGAGAGGTTTTATCATTTTCTGCAATTTTGCTGCCTCCCCATTACATCAAAGGCTCCTGTTTCTGGTCTGGAGCTCAGTGAGCAGAGGGGTCCGGGGAGACCTCTCTGAGCCTCAGAGTTCTTATCCGCCCAGCAGGTACGCACAGCCCCACAACCTACAGGCTGCTGTGCGAGCTCACCATGGTAACAGACAGGAAGTCACTTGGCAAACTGTAAACCCTTCCAGAAAGGCTAACTATCGGATGGTTTATGGTTTCCTCTGTCTCTTCTCTCACCCCTTCTCCACATCCCCTCTCCCTTCTTCTCCATTCTGTGAGGTGAAGGGAAAGGTGACCTCCCAGGGCCCTAGAGTGAGCTGGGAAGGGGGCTGGCAGCAAGAGCCTGCCATCATCACCATGGCAACAGGTCCCTAGCTGCCAGTCTGCCAGACTGCTGATGCTGACTTTTTCTCCACGTGCCCTGAAGGTTAACCTTGACCTCACTTCCCTCCTGGACAATGAGGATAAGAAGTCCAAGAACAAGCGAGGAGTCTTGCCCAAGCACGCCACCAATATCATGCGTTCTTGGCTCTTCCAGCATCTCATGGTGAGTGTGTGTGCACTGGGGTGTGTGGGTGCAGCGGCACCCCCAGGTCCACAGAGGGCGTGGCCTCAGAGAGAGGCTCTCTGGTTGGGTATCATCTTCCGGACCCAGATCAGAGGGAAGCTCCCACGAGAACTCAAGCTGGGAGTCTGTCCCTAGTGCTTTGCTGCTGCTGCCGCCTCAGAAAAAGGGCAACTTCAGAGAGTGTGGGACAGACGTATTCTGACTTACGTACTGGGAGTGTTCGGAACTGTTTGGTGCACAGAGTGAGATTCTGTGGGGCCAGGGCTGAGCTTCCTGGTCCAGAACCCACCGCCCACTCACCCTGCCCTTCTCTTAAAGAGGAAATGTTCATTCTCTGCTCTTCTGGGTCCTGGAGTCCCCACTGCTGGGGAAGCTGAGGTGTGTGTGCCCCTCCTGCTTGGCGCCCCAGCGGAGGCACAGTGCAGGGGGCCGTGGTTGAGCCCGTAGGCTCTGGAGGGGCACGGGCCGAGATCCTGGCTTCCTCGCATGTCCGGCTCAGCTCTGTGATGCAGAGCAAAGGCTTTCATAAGCCTCCTGGCCACTTTCATGAAATGGAGACAGCACCTTGGGTTTAACTGTGTGTTTGTAAAGTGCCCACTGTGTGCATCGAGATGGAGCTGTGTGCACCGAGATGGAACTGTGTGCACCGAGATAGAGCTGTGTGCACCAAGATGGAGCTGTGTGCTTGTAGGGCTCATTGAAATAGCGACTTTGGTTGACTGTCAGGAATTACCTCGATGACTTTAGCCCCTAGCACCATCTCAGAGCCAAAGACCAGTGACTGTCTGGGCCAAGTGTGAGAGAGTGTGTGCACACACATATGTAAATGTCTGAGTCTGTCCAGGATGCGGAGATGGAGTCTGTGAACATGGATGGGCTCTCAGCCACCTGGAAGCGTGGCCTGGCAGGACATAGACACACAGATGCAGGACAGACAGCAAAGTTGGAACTAGAACTATAGACATATTTTGGCCTGTGAAGTGTGGGAAGAACCGAGTCAGGAATTTCTTTCTCAATCAAATGGATTATGGGAATCAGTCAGTCCATCCATCAAGGCACAGTTCTTCACTGAAGTGGCATGAGCCTGGGCCTGGCAGTGCTCTCAGATGTGGGGCCCCAAGGACCTGCTTCAGGAGGGGGCTGTGCACCCCATGGCCAAGAGAACTGCCCTGGGGACTCACTGTGGGGCCGGGGCTTGGCATCTCCCCACATATCCCTCTTCCCCCTCACCCCCAGGGACTTGGGGCCCCCAGATGTTTGCTGAGGGAATATAGTCTGAAAACACCCCCAGGGAACAAATGGTAACCTACTTTGGAGAGAAGGGGTGGACAGCTGAGAATTCAGGTGAGAAAAGGTTGGAACGACTCCCAGGACAGGAGCCAGGGCCAGCCCAGGCCTCCCGGGAGCAGCCCTGACGGGAACTGGAGTTCACAGAGATGGCGGGGAGCTAGGTCGGCCTGCTCCGGTGTCACACTGCCAGAGGCTGTCTGCAGCCTTGTGCTGTGGGAGGTAGGACTGCAGGGCCCAGGTGTGGGAGAAGCTCACGGGCCAAACCTGAGCTCAGATCTAGGCGTCAGCCCTCACCGCCACCTGGCCACGCCCACCTCTGTGCAGGTGATGCTGAAGCAGTGGATGCATTGCTGAGACCCTAGCACACTGTGGTGCTTAATGATGGCAGCTCCCCTTCCTTCCCTTCTTCCTCTCTTCCCACCCCCGTGCATGTTGAAGACTGATGTGAACATACTTACAAACTCACTTCTGAGGGGGAGAAAAGGCAGGTGTAGGAGGGAGAGGAGGCTGCAAGGTGATTTCCATGCACAGAACCCTTACTTCCAGGCCAGCACCCCTCAGGACTCCCATCATCCGCTGTGGGCGCCTCCTCCACCACCTGCCACTCCCCGTGTGCAGCTCGTGAGACTGGAGGGGCATCTGCTGAGTCCCTCCCTTCTGGGCCTCCCCTCTGACCTCAGTCCATGTCCTACCCTCCCTGCTGAGCCTCCTCTGTAGCTCATGGTCTTTTCTTTCCACTCCCACCAGATGAGATGGCAGAGGAAGGTCAAGGTGGACAGGGAGGAGGAGCCAGGGGGCTTCCCCACAGGACCTGGGACAGTGGGAGGACTTGTTGAAAAGCATGAGTAAGCTTTCCCTGCCCACACCTTCCCACCCCCTGGACCCTCTCCAGCGCAGAGAGCACAGGAGCGCAGGTGCTATTAATAAAGCACTTAACCCTGGCAGAGTCCTCCCCCGTTAATGCCTTCCCCGCGGCGGCGGCCATCGGCAGAGGACAAGGGAGTGACCGCTGGGCCTTTGGGAGGAGGGGAGGAGTCACGCTTAAGAAATGATCGTTCCCCCTCAGCTGGCTGGAACAGTGAACAGGTTTTTGAGGTGAATCAATTAGAGTCAGGTGGCTAGCCTGTGTCTGATCTGTTACACCTGCTGAGTTTGCCATCCGGGAACCCTAAGAAAAGGGACCAATACTGCTACTTGCCTGTCCTGTGGGGACGTGTGTGTGTGTGTGTGTGTGTGTGTGTGTGTGTGTGTGTGTGTGTGTCAGTCTCCGTGTCTTAGGTCTCTGACTCGGTAGTAAATGTTCCAGAACGGGGAGTGGATGTTACTCCTGCCCCCCCAGAAGCGTGGGGAACCGTAGGTTCTACAGTCAGCTTGTTCTTCCTTCTCAGTGTACAGGGGGCGCTGTGTGCTTGCAGGGCGGGGATGTCCTGAGCTGTCCCCAAACACATCTGATCACTAAGACTCTGTTTTATCTGTTGTTTTGGAGAACAGCCCTGAGGCTGGGTCTGGGGAGTGCAGCCCCGTTTTAGGAAAGAGGGGAGAAGAGGGCAGAACGTCAGTACCAGGGATGTTCTCAGTCCGGTGCAGCGGGACCACAAATAGGTCGATTGGTTCCTTGGAGACCGTTGGTTAAAGAAAGAAAGAACCACCGAAAAGGCACATTTTTACTTTAGTTTAAAATATATACATTTATTTATTTCAAACGGCATACATATATGTTATATGGAACCAAGATCTTTTTCTAATTCAAATTTGTCATTTTACTTGCATGAATCTCTCCTGTACTATAACATCTATAAATTCCATCTTTATTTAAAGTGGAATAAGAGTTTTGACATTTGGGAAGTAGTCTAGCTGCCGGATCTTCCTGGATTTTTATTGTGTGTTCCAGTTTTTTAACATCTGCCTCACTGCACCTTACTGTGTGGTATTTCCAGAGCATTCTATTTAGGGTTTTCTGGGGTGTGTGTGTGTGTGTGTATGTGTGTGTGTTGTTTGTTGTTGTTGTTGTTGTTGTTATTTCTTTAGTAACAATAACTCCTTTTTGCACTCGTATTTCATTGATTTGCAGAATGATTGGTTACATTACATGGTGTATTTCATTGATTTGCAGAATGATTGGTTACATTACATGGTTACACTAGCACGTGTAACTGGCACAAGCCAATTTCGTACAAACACCACTGACTTCCTGATAAGCAGATAAATTCGCCAATGAACTTCCTGCAAAGTAGCCTGTGTATCTCGACCCTTCAGGGCAGAGTGGGCACAAGTCCTTCCGGTCTGCAGCAGACACGGGGCCTTGTCCCATCTGAAGCGTGGCTACCAGAGATCGGGTCTCAGAACCTGCAGCAGATGCTGGTTCCCTGCTGTCTTGTTTCTCGGGGGGGGGGGGAAGTCGGGACTCTCTGGCCCCCTTTGTCCTGTGTCGCTTCTTGCCGTGGCCACTGCTCCGTGGCATTAGCAGCTACAGAAATGTGTCCCGGTGACAGGAGGCTCCCGGGACGGAGACTGCGCCCTGGCCTTTTGCTGTTAGGCTGGTGTCATCCGTTAGCCGCTGCGCTGCCGGTCCCTGAAGCACCAGTGATATTTCTTGCTCTCGCATTTTGTCTGGAAGAGGCTAGACTCCCGATAGAAGCAGTGGTTCCCTAGAAACCAGAGCGGGTGAGAAATTCAGCAGAGGGCCCACTCGTGGGGGAGGGGGGTGCTATACTTCCTCCCCAGCGTCTGGCCTGTCCCCCACTCCAGATCCCAGTCTCCTCCTGCCCTGCTGGGTGATTCTGCTGATTTCCGCCCAAAATATGGCTGTTTTCTGGGTTATAGCCCCCTCTCCCCTGCTCCAACACATGAGCAGCTTTACAGAATATTCTGTGAGGAAAGGGGGGGTGGGGGGAAACCAGCCCTAGCAAGCCCCCCACCCCCACCCCCACCCATCAAAGGAGCTGCCCTGCATGACCCCCACAGTGAGCCAGACCTCTGCTAGCATGTTCACCATTTCAGGATCCACCCAGCCCCGCAGAAGGTGGGCACCACTATTATCCATATTTTACAAATAAGGCAACTAATCTCAAGGAAGGTACCACATGCCCCAAGGCCCCGCAGGATTTGAACCCACGTCTGTGTAACTCGAGGCTCTGCTTTCTTGCCCACTGGGCTGTACAGCTTCCACCGTGACCCAGGAACCCACGGCATCTCTGGGCTCCCGGCAGGTGGAACAAGGGGACCCCAGCTTTCAGCTGAAGCACAAAGCCCGGTCCTGGGAGAGGCGTGGGGTTTTATATGCCCGGCCCTAGTTCCAGATCTCGTGAGGCTGCCCTGTAGTCCCTTCCTGTCTTCTCCCTTCCCGTCCATCACATTGGCAAGCCCGGTCAGCGCCCAGCCAGGGCCACAGTCTGCTCTGCTGGCGGCCGTCCACCCCACGTCTTCTGGGGGGCGGCTCTCCATGGGCCACACTGAGCCGGGGCCTGGCCCCAGGCCCCCCTGAGCCCTCTGTCATCCCAAGAGCCGAGGGCAGGAAAAGCACCAGGAGGCTTCCCTGTGTGATTCTTTTATTGAAATATAACTCACACGTCATAAAACCCACTCTTTCCCACTGCACCCTTCAGAGCTTTGTGGTGCACTCACAGGCTTGCGTCATCGTCCCCACTGTCTATCCCAGAATATCTCCTCGTCCCTGAGCGAAATCGGTA